GACCTCTGACGGACGGTTTGCCGGAGAGCAGGATGCGGGGGATTCGGTAAACCAGTTCGGGGGGCGGCTGAGACGCCGGGGAGCGGGAGGAGTTCCTGGTGTGTGTCCGACGGGCAGGGACCGCAGGACGCCCCGTGCCTGCTGCTTCCAGGAACGACAGGACAGAGCAGGACGAAAAGGGACTGCACAAAAGCGACCCAGGGTCACCCAGCAGGTTTTCACCTGGCCTTCAGATATCGCTTGGTTCAGCACTTCAGCTCATCAAGACTCTTCCACCTCACTTTTATTTTAACAGGAAAAAAAAAAACTATCTCAAATTTTTCTGGTTGAAAATCACCATTTTCTTTTCTGTTGCAGATTTAATTCCGAGCTGCACCTGCCCAAAGGTGATTTGTGGTGTTTACAGTCCTGTTTTGTTCCCCTTTCTGACTTTTCTTGGCCATTTTCCATTTCCAGGGCCCAGCCTGGCTCCTCTCTACCCGCACCCGCGCCGCGTTGTGGGGACCACGCTGTCCTTGGGCTCCCAGCCCGTGGCTGCGGGCAGCGTCCACCCCATCACCGTCCGTGCTGGGCCGAGCCCTCCCCGCGGCTGCGCTCCGGCTCTCGGTGTGGTGGGTGCCTTTGCTCATTCGGTGGGATAAATGGTGCCTTCGCCTCCTGTCGTGACATTTCTCGTTTCCTTTCCAGTGCCGAGCTGGCGTGAGCAGCCCCTGAGGACGCGTTTTTATCAAGCTGGAGCAGCAGCCGGCGTCCATCTGCAGGTGGAGGGGAAAAGGGACCATCTTGGTGTCTCGGCCTTGAGGAGGACGGTGTCCGCGTCTACCAGATGTTGTGTGAGACGGCTGCGTGCCACGGGAGGACTCTGGCATCTGTGAATCCCGGCGGATGATGCTTGGATTCGAGGATTCCTCTTTCTGCGTCTCAGCTGGGCAGAACTACCAAAAGTTCAGCCGAGCGATGGCCCTGGCTGTGGGTGCAGGGAAGAGCACAGCCTCGAGCGCCAGCGACACGTGCGGGGCACACGCTGGCTCCCGTAACCTTGCGAGAGCTCCAGGTGGCTTCTGCAGACGGTGACGGTGCCTCCAGCTCCTCCCGTCCAGCTGAGGATCATCTTTTGGACTGGAAGCGACAAAATTCACAGCTCGGAGCATCCCAGCTGGGTGGTAGCTCCCAGAATTGTTGGTCTAAGGGACGGCAGCTGGTTGAGAGCCTCGAGCAGCGAGAGGAGCCTGCGGCAGACCCAGCTCCCGCGTGCCACCTTCTTGGCGGCCACCACCAAAGCCTCCGAGCACGAGAAGGTGCCTGGGGCGTCTTTATTCACTGTCGCGCCCAGGACAGCCCCGAACTCGGGAGGCGTTGCCGTTCCACGCACAAAACCGTTTCAGGTTCTTGCCTTCAAAGAACAAATTTGTAAACGCCGGGGCAGGGCGTGACTCCTCCGCGCCGGCACCCAGC